GCCAACCGCCGTCGTCTCCGGCATGGCGCGAGCGCGGCGTTATGCATCCCGTTGACAACGCCGACGCGGACGCCGTCGACGAACTCCGCCCGTGGCGCGCAGCGGACCCGCCACAACACAATGCCAAGGGTGCGTAAAAGTGGAAGGAGCTCGTAGCACCACTAATGTCTTCTGCAGCAGCAAGAGACGTCGCAGGGCTGTCTGATGAATCGCAAAAGGCAGCAAGTGCACCGCTCGCTAAGCGTCGCATTGTTGTGAACTCCTCCTGAACCGTCTGAAGAAGAAACCTTTGTAGCGTGCTACCATCCTGGGGAGTAGAGGAAAGAAGATACTCTGCATCGCTGCAGCAATTCAGCCCTCGTTCCACGAGCAACCGAGCGCACTGGAGTCGACTCTCTATCAAGGCACGCTGACGCTGCGAAAAGGATGCCGTCGCATCTACCCCATGAGTAGGGTGTGGATGCCTCGGGGAAGTCAAATCCAATTGTAATTGTTCGTGCGCAGCTGAACACGCCAGCGAACGCACAACCCTGGCGAGCTCCCCCCGTAACTGCGTCTCTGTTGGGTTTCCAGGCGACAGTAGACCGGCCACGCGCTCAAGACCGTCAATGATACATCTATTTATTGAAAGGTACGTGTCGGCTTCTGATGGCGATGATAATGGTGATGGTTCTACCGACCCTACTCCTGCCGCACCAATATTATCGTCGTACGATGCGGATAGAAAAAGTAAGCCTAAACGAAGCGCCAGGTGAACAGCTTCAGAATCTTCGGTTTTACTGTTCATTCTTTCGGCCCCTGCTAAGATGGTCTTGTAGGTGCAAGCTGCATCCAGGAGTAGAATTGGAGCCTGCGACGATGGCTCACAAACATGATTTGCGTTGTCCCTAAAGATATCAACAACCGACTCGTGGAGGCGCTGCAGCAACATAAACAGCGTGGGCCCCAAGTTCTCCTCATTCAGCATCAGTTGAATTGAGGAGAGACAGTGTACGCCTGCAAATGTGTTATCTGGTGCTGCATACAAAGAGAAATCGAAACAGAGGCCACTCATTACAAACAGAAGAGGCAAATGATGGGTGCAACTAAAAGGTGACGACCGAAAGATACAAGGCAGTTTTCGTCTTACCTCCGCTCCAAAAGTAATATCAATCCCAGTCCTGCATATCAAATCGCGATAATTCGTTCAGCAGGTCAACTTTTGCTGCCTCAGACTTGACAAGCTTTTCATCAATGTACCACTCCTGTTTCTCCAAAGGCTGAAGTGCCATCTTGCGCATCCGGCCACCACGCTTCTGTTTCAACTCCGCTGCAAACATACTGCGATAATTGACAATGTTTCGCTCCACGGCATGTAAGTTCGCCTGGCCCCATTCACCATATTCCCGTTCTTGCTCTTCTTGTCGTGACTTCTGTCTACTGAAAGGCGTAGTATGGCCGACAGCCAAGAAGTTCCGTTTATGTGATGCCGTTGGAGCTATTGCCCCATTCCTGCCAAAAAAGTCGTCCTCCAAGTATGAGTACGACGGGGTCAGCTCTGTCCAATGGTGCGACGGCGACGGCCCGAACGCCGGGATGTACTCCGCGTACTCGAAACTCTCCTCGTAGTCCAGCGACGGTGGCGTCACCACGCTTTTGTTGCTGCCCTCAGTGCCCTCGCTATCGCAGCTATTGATATTCCTCGTGAAGCCGGCATGTTCCCTCTTTCGGAACACGAGGAGGTCTACTGTCTGGTACGTTCGGTAAAAAGCGTCAAGTTCCTGCTCGATACGCTTGCGGAACTGCGGGTGAGCAAACGCGCGCATGTACGCGACATTGCGGCGGTGCGTCGTTTCGTTGCTGTCCAGCAACCCAGCAAGCGAGTGGCGACGCCGCAGCACCAATTCATATGCTCCCTCCAATGTGGAAGTGACGACATCACTGAGAGGCATAACAGAAACAGAGCTGCCACTTTTATTGAACGGAGTGAATAAAGATGACGTTTCCTTCAGGATAGAAGTAATGTCAAATGAGCGTGGAAGAATAAAAGCAATGTAGCCGCCGTCTTTCAGTAGCGGGAACATTCGTCGCTGCTGCTGCCGCTCTGTGAAACCATTGCCGCCATTGCTCGAGGAGTGCAATAACCTCTGAAGCAACTCGCGCAACATCGGCAAGGAGGAGTGCGGGTGATTGTCACCACCATCAAGTGCGAATTGATCAATACAACATGATGTGTCTTGCAAAAGCGGCCACGACGGAAACAAAGGCCGGAGAGGCGGATGAAAAACGAGCAGGTCAAACGGACCAACCCCCTTATCTGACGATTCACTCTCAATTGGGTTGGCGGCAAGTTGATGACGTCGTCCCGCACGCCGCCGCTGCGCCGCTGCTGCAGCCAGAACACCTCCGTTCGTCGGCGGGCACTCTTCACGCTGTGTTACAGCCTCCCACTCGGGCAGCAAGTTGCAGCGCACAAATTGTAATGTTTTTCTTGAGAGTGAAGTGCTGCGTCGCTCCCGTAAGTGTTCGCGGAGAGTCGCCTCTGCGCTGCCTAAGGCCTCCGACGTGACGTCGACACCGACCACCTGTTGCGCGCCGGCCTTTAGCAGTAAATCCGTCATGTAACCGCTGTGGCAACCGCAGTCGAGTGCCGAAAAGCTGGCGGCGTCCTTTGCCAGCCCATCACACCGCCACGCAGGTGGGGAGAACGCCTCCGTCGCCCGCCACGCCCGCATTGCGTCATCACGCGGCGATGACCCACCACCACCACCACCACCAATGTCAGCACTACCAATAGCAGCAGCCGCAGTAGCGACGTCGTCGTCGTCAGCCCCCGGTGTGACTTCCGGCCGTGGCATTTTCATGCGGAGCAACCATTGCAGCAGGTGTACGTACGGCATTTGCTCCGCGCGGGAGGAGGGGCAGTACGTGCCGTGCCACGGGTGCAGCAAATAGCCGCCGCGGTACCATTCGGCTTTTGTCGCCCCGCCACCCCACCGCACACCGCGGTGATAACGCACAAAGGACTGCACGAGTCTCATAAGCTCCACGAAAGATACGACTTCCTCTCCATTTGACAGCGTGGCGGTGGGGAGCGCCGTGTCCATCCAGTCAATGAAGCCGTCAACGATTGCCTCCTCGCCCATGGAAACGTCCACAAGCGCCGCGCTGTCATGACGCCGGAAGCAGTGTAGGAGAAACATTGGAAAATCTTCCACCCTGTGCACTACATCACGCGGTAGGAAGAGAGTAGTGTGGAGTAAATGCACAAAGCGCTTCGCCATTTCGTGTAGCTCCAATAGCGTTCTTGCCCCACAGCAACTAGATGATGTCACTGCTATTGTCTCCCGCTGCTGCTCGGATGTGGCACTCAAAGCATCGAAGCCATTCCGCATCAGAATTTGCGCGCGCTGCTGACAATCTCGAAGGCGACGGCACACAACCACATCAGGCACCGCGGCAGCGGTCAGCGAAGCCGCGCGACGGGAGTGTTGCTGCGCCGAGAGCATCAGACTACCAGAGCCACGCAGCGCGGCGCCACGCCGTTGCCGCAGGAGTGGCAGCATGCTATCCCCCCTCCTTACACTCCTTAGCACTTCAAGCACCTCATGCCAAACAAGCAAAAAAAAAAAAACAGAAAAAATGCAGCAACCTCGACGCAGCGTGAGTTACAATCAGAACCACACAATGAGCCCACAACAAAGCGCACGCCCCATTCCGTCATTTTCTTTTTAATCGTAAAGATGGAGAGACACTGAGATCTTCAGCGGTGTCTCTTCTTTCCCTTGGCTGTCTTTTTGCCGTGCCCCTTTCGGGAGTGCTTCTTGATTTTTCGGATCTTCTCAAGCTCCTTCAGCATCTGAATTCGCGGCTTCGTCCTGGTGGGACCCTTTGTCTCCTTTTTGAGGCGTCGCAACTCCTGTTCTACCACAGCGGGGAGATCAGAGAAGTCATTGGCCGGGAGGAGAGGCGCAGCAGCAGAGGCATCAGCCACCGCCGGCTTGCCAAAGAGTGGCTTCACCTCCACCGTGACGTAATCGTCGTCGAGGCGGCCGCTGCTTTGGGGCACTGGCGTCGCATCGCTTTCCCCCCGCATGGCACTCGGCATGACATGCACCGTCTTTTCCGCAGCAGGCAGCCGACGTTTCCTTTTGTCGGCGCTGTCCGGCATCATTTCGCCCTCCCCCCTCTCGGCTTGGTCTTCAACCTCCCCTTCCTCCTCTTCCTCCTCCTCCTCGCCGTCGTCGCGTGGCAACTGGTAGGTGAAGTTGGGCAAGATTGGGACGGCAGCGAAGCGGTTGTACGCCTGTCGAGCCTCCTCACGTTGGGCACGGCGTGTCTTTGCGTTGTCACGCCTGAGCTTGTGCTTTGCGTCAACAAAGGCCTTCACCCGTCGTTCGTTCTTGCGTTTATGCATCGTGAGGAGATAATCGCGACGAGCTGCTTCGTCGAAGGTGATCGCTCTCACACGCTTGCCACCGTTGTTGCTGCCGCTGCTGTTGTCTTTCCGTGCATCCTTTCCTGTGATCTTATTGAGACGCTTGCGTTGGTAATTCTCGTAGCGGTCGACCTTGAAGCCCTTCTTCTCGCGTTTCTTCTTGTCGTTTCCGCCGTCCTCTGCAGCTGAAGCAGCGCCATCCCTCATTCCGCCGAGCCACAGCGCACAGACCCACTTTGGAAAGCCGCACAAAGAACAGCAACAAGGTAAAAAAAAAAAAACGAACAGCAAACACAAAGACCGGTGGGGATAGGCGCAGCGCTCACGACAAGCAAAAAAACGACAAGAACAGCTAACTGCATACTCGGACAAGTGGCACAAACGGCTCCAAGAGACACGATTCATTCTAGCTCACAATATTCCAGAAACCGAATGAAAAAAAAAAAAAGAAACTTGCTGGCACACTAAAAACCAACTCGCCTGTACGAGAACGACTGACCCCATCCAGGGTCTTCGAGAAACACTCTCCACTTAACGCAATTGTAGGTGGCAGATGAAGGTGCGAATATCCATCGGCTTCACCGTCACGGTGTGTACCCCAGGCTCCACCACTTCAGATGCCATGAGCGACATCTCATCGACGCTCCTGACGGTGTGCCGCGGCACGTCAGCGAGAAGTGCCGTCACGTTCACCTTGACAGGAAGCGAGCGCTCAGGGTCCTCGTCAACAGCGTAGCGATGCCCAATACGCAGAAGAAGTGTTCGCTCATCGAGCAGCTGCAGCGTGAGGAGTTGCAGGCTCGGCGGAAGAGAGGCCCCCAAAGAGAAGTCATAGCTTGCTTTTGCAGCCGATGAGGAGAAAACCACAAGTGGGGTGTAGTATTTCTCGTCCTGCTGCTCCCGCACGCGCCGCATCGCCGTTGGCGCGCTGCCCGTCACGGCGAATGACAGCGTGCCGCGCACGCGCAGATGCTCGCCGTAGTGGTGGCCGCACGCGCTGATGTTCGATGGGACACAACCCGCGTAGCTCGTGACGGAGGCCGTTTCATTTAGAGCTTCACCTACGCCCTTATCGTCGTCCTTGAGCAAGCGCCGGTGCGTCGTCAGCAGCACCTCACCGTTGTGGATACTTGTCCCACCCATGGGTGCATCTGGGAAAACACTGAACTGCGTCTGTGTGTCGTTGATGAACATTAACGTGGCCACTGGGTAGTAATTGCCTGCCACCGGCTCCGTTTGCGTGAAGGGGTAGTCGCTGCGGTAATCCACGCGCCGCCGCATCATCTCGCGACCGTTGCTGTCGGTGAAGAAGTCGCCACTGTTGTTAACAGAAGTGCGGAAGCGGGCCACAAGTTCACGACCAAAGCCATCTTCAATTGGGATGCCCAAAGAAGTGAACTCCACATCAACCACATCCCCGCGGAGCATCACCCGCTGCACCAGATCGTTCCCAAAGCGCTGCTCAATCACACCAAGGGCCCCGTCGACGAGGGAGAGTCTCACCGGCTGTGTCGTGATAGGCTCGCACGACGAGTCGGTCACCGGACGCATGATGTACGCGCCACCCGATATGAAGCTCTCGTTATCACCCTCGTTACTCCGAAAGTAACACCAGTCCTGAACTACCATCACCTTCTGACCCGTCGCACGCACGATGACGGTCTCCAAGAGGCCATTAGTGCCAAAGTGGAGTTCGAGAGCGTCGTTAGATACCTTCGCCACCGACTCCAGATCCAGCGTCTTGGCCATAAAACGAGAAGTGCGACGCCGCTGCGCGTATGCATGGGAGACGGGTGTGGAGAGTGTCAGAACAGCAAGTCGGTCCAGCAGGAGTTCCACTGCGAGTGTGTACGGGAGCCCCCCCGGATTCTCGTCTGTGTAATCGCCCACTTGGAGTGATGACTCGAAAACAGAGTAGCGCTTGATGCCAGCACCCGTCACAGTCACATCATCCCGAGGCACGGGAATCCGCACCAGTGCATTCGCAACACGATGGGCACTTGGGTTCCACACTGTCACTATGAGCGTCGCGCCGTCGCGTGCGAGAGCGGAAGCCGTTGCGGGGCACACCGACACGTTTGACAGGAGGCAGTGTTGCGCATCGCGAAGCCCAAAGGGTTCCAGTGAAAGCGCAACGCGGAGTCGACTAGCAAAATCATTTTTGTAGCCCGCCGTGAGGCGTTTCACGTAGTCGAATGCTACGTGTTGTTTCGCGGTGCCAGTAATGGCGTCGTGGTGCTGCGCAATAGCGAGCGCATCACTCAACATCGGTACCTCCCCGGAGGGCACGCCCGCGAGGAACTCCACCTGTCTCGCGGCGGTCCAGTAGCTGCTCAGATGCCTCACGAGACGCTTCAGGGTGGGGCGCGAGGTGTAATAGCCCGTCCAAAACTGGTGAGGGGCGCTGGCGTACGGGAAGAAGTCACCCTTCTTCTTGTCATATACAAGTCCCTGTCGTTCCTCCTCCAGCTTTGCCAGCGTGTACTCATATGGGCTGGAGTAGCGTATGGAAAACTCCCCATCAGCCGTGACAATCTTGATCAGCTTGTCCATGTTGCTATACCACAGATCGCTCGAGAGGTAGTGAAAGTCGCAGCCCATCGTCCACATGACATGCTCCCCATGCGTCACATTCATGTTGCTCTGCAGCTCTGCCTTGAAGCGCTCAAGCACAAGAGGAACATTGTACCGCTCAGAGGTAATGTCGTCGACGATTTCAGACGTCTCGCTATCTAACTGGGCCTTGGGCCAGTAGCCGAGGATGTCCCACGAGAAGTGCGGCGGCGGGCAGTACGTCTGGTGCAGATTGATTTCAGCAAACGTACGCAGCTCCGGCATCGACGGACTCGCCTGCCACCAGAACTGCCGCCGCCCTGTACTCCCGCGGTAATCATCCTCCTGATAGTCCACGCGGGAGAAGAACGTGCTGATGAGCCCCGCGCGCGCTGTCAGCATCGCCCCTTGTGTGGCGCTGTGACCGAAGGGGTCCACCTGCCACCCTACGCGCGGCACAATGTTCAGCTCGCGCTTCAGCCACCGGTGGCCAATGGTCGTCTGATCGATCATATCGGTAAAGTGCGTCGCGGCCTCGTCGTGCATGCTCCACCCTCCATTTGCAAACTGTAGCCGGCCCTCCGCAACGAGGCCACGCACAATCTCACGCGTCTGCTTCGTCTGCTCCGCCCACCACCGAGAGAAGAAGCCAATCTCAGCGTACGTAAATTTTCTCTCGGGGTTCACCAATAATCCACCAACCACACTGGAGATGATCGCGTTGACATTCGCCATCTGAATAGTGTTATTCATCCCGTATTGGTACTGCTCCACCGTCTTGAGCCAACCCATGTCATCGTGCGTGTGTGGCACGAGATGCACGGTAATCTTTGCGCTCGAGAGAAGCGGCAGCACCGGCATAACAACGGCGAGGAGAAAAGTCACCGTAAATATGGCAAGATGACGCATGTCGGGGGTCTTCACAATGCAGAACAATAGATAATGATCCTACCACACGAATACACGGACGGAACAAGAACGCAGAATGCAGGCAAAGTCGAAAACGAAAAAGAAAGCACAGCAAAAACAAACAGAAGGGAGAAACAAAGACAAAAACATATAGAAATATACACAAGCAAACAAGCTTGTAGGCAAAAAGAAGCCAAGACATAAGTATACAAAGAAAAAAAACAGACCACAGGCCTCCAATGAGGGGACGACCCAGAGCTTTGGGAAGCCATTGACTCAAAATGTGGCCATATCACTCCCTTGTGGTAATTATTTTCCTTTCCAGTGTTCATAGTGCTTCTCCAGGGACGACACTTATTGCTAAAATTCTGACAACTCCACACGAGTGGACCTTTTCTTCTCTGGTTTATCTTTACACAAATCTCTGGTAGTTTTATGTTCTATTTCTTGACGATGGTGTGTGGCATAACTACTCACAATACGATTGACAGCGGGCATAGTGGAAGGTAGGAGGCGGTACTCCAGGTTTTAAAAAAAAAAAAACGACGTCTGAGCGGTTCAGGGTGCTTGTCTTCTGGCCAGAGCAACTTATTGCCAAGTACACGAAACACGGCGTCAAAACGGGCGATCAACGCCGCTCGAAGCACGCGGAATAGTGCGAGGAAGCTTGCTACGTTTTCGAAATACAGGGTTACGATATCCAAGTATCTAAATTGGAGTGCGGCAGAGGGTTCGTTGGTGTTTTTTTTTGGTATGTGGGTGTTCGGCGTATCCATTGTCGCTTTGTAGTCTTGCAGCGAGTGGCAGCTGCGTGCAGAGCACAACGAGGAGATATTCCTTGCTTGCTCAGTCAAATGTAGCTGCTGGTGCTGGAGGCGGGACATGTCATTCCGCGACAACCGCCGCAGACCGGCCGCTTCCCCCCCCCCCNAATTGCATCGCGCCAACCCGCGAATCCGTGGTGGCACGTGTATTCCGCACGCCTACAGTGAAAAAGGAAATGGGAAATGGCACAATGAATGAGTAGCACCTGGCGCACAGTGGCTGGTTTACCAGTTCATTCGGGATGTTTTGTAGTGTTACGCACCACACGAAATAAAACATGAAAATCACGGAACACATAGTCAACCAAAAAAAAAAATTCACGTACGTTGCTCCCTCTTTTCTCTTCTTCAATTACTAATTCGTTTGCAGTTTAAGAGGTGGCCTGATGCAATCAGCACCCACCAGCACCACCAGCACCACCATACACCCATGATATTTGATTTCAAGATAATCGTTTTCTTTTTTGCATTTTATTCCCGATCCCTCCGACCTCAGCCTACATTTGCCCTTCGTGCCAGGTTACGCAACCCTACGACCTTGGCTTCATACTGTTCGTTGCTGCATTATAAAAAGGCGCCAAGTGACGAGCCCCAACACCGAAATAAGAAATATTTCAAGTTCAATATCTCTTAATTCTTGCCAAAAGCTGTGCCGCGCGCGATGTTTTTCTCAAGCTCTGCAAGGCACTTCTCCATGAGGTCCTCTTCATACTTGTTAAGAACCGGCTTGTGCACCTTCGCCACGCCATTCTTGCCCAACTCCACCGGGCAGCTGAAGTACTGCACCCCTGGCATCAAATCGGTGTGGATGAATGTGCACTCCACAATACCGCTGTCCCCGCGCAAAGCCTTCAGAACAGAGACGGCCCACTCGGAGCCGGCGTACGCCATCGACAGCGTGGCAGAGCCAGCACCGTCCTTTGCTTGCACCACCTCGTCACCGCCGTATTGAACGCGGTGGGTGATGGCCTTCACTTGGCTTTCCGAAAGCTGCACGCCGGCCTGCGAAAGCAATGGTACAATCGTGGGACCACTGTGGCCGCCAAGGACAGGGACGTTGATGTCGTACGGACTCTTGCCTGCGGCCTCTGCGACGAACGTCCGGGCGCGCACAATATCGAGTGTCGTCACACCAAAAAGCCGCGTGGGATCAAACACACCAGCCTTCTTGAGCGTCTCTGCGGCGATGGGAACCGTGCTATTGACAGGGTTCGAAATGATGCCGATGATGGCCTTGGGGCACACCTTGGCGCATGATGCCACGAGGTCGCGCACAATGGAGGCGTTCGTGTTGAAGAGATCGTCACGGCTCATACCTGGCTTTCGCGGCACACCAGCCGGAATAATGACAAGCTCGGCACCGTCAAGCGCCTTGTTGATATCCTCCTTTGCATACCCCGTCACTTTGGCGGGGGAACAAATATGCGAGAGGTCGGCAGCAACGCCCGGCGCCCCGCGAACGTCGTAGCAGCTGAGTGCAGACACCAGAGGGCTGTTCTTCATGAGAAGCGAAAGTGGCTGGCCAATACCACCAGCCGCACCGAGCACGGCCACCTTGCTGTAACAAAGAGAACTTGCGTGCATTATTGTTTTGAAATACTTTTGAAGTGCTTACGTGTGTTTTAAAGTGTGTGTGTTATTTTCTAATATGCCAATCAGTGGGAAAAGAAAGAAAAATTGCATGATGCAGACCATGAGAGTCGCAGTAATGCAAAAATAGTCAGTACGCAGAGAGGAAAACGAAAATTACCCTGGCACCAAAGCCTAAAGCCACTTCACGCCTCACTTTTGTTCGCACAAAAGCTATTCAACCTATGCGATACCTGATGTATGTGTGTTTGTTTGTTTGTATGTGTATCTCTGTGTGTGTGTGTGTGTGTGTGATGGTCTAGGGTATCCATAAACATATGCAGGCTCACACACGCAGCGCTAGGGAGGCGTCACCACGCCTACTTTGCTTTACCAGCGGCAAATCGAAACCCAGCTTCAACGTCTTCTGCGATTGATGCCACGGCAGTCTCCACCAACTCTGTCTCATACGGTGTTAAAGGGCCTATCGGCAGCAGCTGTTCGACGCCTTCTCGGCCAAGTACCACACGAGAACCAAAGAACGGTGTCTCCTTCCTCATCGTAGATTCCACAAATCCACACTCCGTGATGCCATAATCGCCCCGCAGCGCCTTAAGCACCGAAACAGACCACTCCAATGCGGCGTACGCCAGCGAAAGCCCCACTGGAGGTGCCACATCGACAGAGAGAGCATGTTCGTTCCCTGAAGCGCCATCGCAGTCAGCATCGTCGGTGACAGGAGCCCCATAAGCCTGCAGCTGCTCACTCATCTGTACGATGCGTTCATGTGGAATTCTCAGACCTGTCTGTGCAACGAGTGGGCATGCAGTTATTCCACCCCTGCCCCCTACGACCGGCACATTTACGTCATATGAATTAATTTTGAGCTCCTCCGCTACAAGTGTCCTAATGCGAATGACGTCAAGAGTTGTCACACCAAAAAGTTTGCGTGGGTCAAACACACTCCGACGCTGCAAAACTTCTCTGGCAAGCGGCACAAGTGCATTGACAGGACTCGAAACGATACCCACAATTGCCGACGGGGCGGCCTTTGATACAGCTTCCATAATCAAAACCAACTCTGCAGCAGTGTCCGCCAGTGCAATATCCCGGTGTACCCGAAGTGGATCGAAAGTGCTACCGCTACACACCAAGACCAACTGAGCTCCATGCAACGCAAGCTCCCAATTGCAAGGATCGTCAAAAGTCTTCACAACTGTGGGAGTGTCGATGTGAGAGAGATCCGCAGCGATGCCACGAGCCGACACCACGCCAACTTCGCACGCTTTCTTCTTTAAAACCGAACAACAGCACACCTCCTCGACGTGAGGACATAACTTCAGCAGCAGTGAGAGCGGCTGCCCTACCACCGTTGTCGCCCCAAACACAACAACCTTCCCCGTTAATTTCGTTGGGGCCGCTCCGCGTAGAAAACGAACCATTTCACACCTATGTGCATATATATTTATATACATATGGGGACGCGTACGCGTAAAAGAAAAGCACGCATTTGTCCAAGCAAAAGCGCACAACAGATCAAATAAGCAAAAAAAAATCAACATTTCAGAAGAGGAGTCCGCAGTTATCGACAAACCAAAGGGAAGAATGGTGTATTACAAGACTGAGTACTTCACATTTTCCACACTTGCATCACTCTAAACACCTCACTCAACTCCGCCACCAAAACACCCTGGACCACCACGAGTTGTGCTTCGCTGCAAGAATGGGATCCAACACTCGGCATATTGACAGGTGCACGTTGTCCACAGTCGCACAGCCATTTACCGTATGCCATAAACGACTATCTTCATATACAAAGCGAACATCACTCAAATTATGGTGAAATTTGGCGAGTCGCTGCTGCACAGCTTCCTCAGTGTCCTCGGCCCGCTGCACCAGCGGCTGACCGGTAATGTCATCGCGTCCCTTCACACGTGGGGGATTGTACAGAGTGTGGTACATGCGGCCCGAGGCCGGGTGCACCCAACGCCCCGCGTAGCGCTCCATAAGAACACGATCTGCGAAGCTGAGCACTATGATAGCGTCAGGCTTTACACCCTCTTTAATCAGAAGCCGCGCCTGTGCAGCCGTCTTAGGAAAATCGTCAAGAAGATACCCATGGATGCAGTCCGGCCCTCGTGTGGCCTCCGCCACAACGCGTGTGAGCAGCCAGTCGGGTATTGTCTTACCCTCGTCTAGTAGGTGACGGAGCCTCTCGCTGAGCTCTGTACCACTGTATTCCACTGCATGTTGAACAACTTCGCTGGGGGCGACGTAGCACACGCCGTAGCGCTCCTTTAAAACTGTACTAACGGAAGTCTTGCCACTACCAGGTGGACCAAGAAGGAACACATGCATCCCCCTCACCGCCAGCCACAGGAATAACAAAAGAGGCAATAATATTGGGGGATAGCGTCACCAAAAAATAGGCGCAGCCCTTTACGATCACACACTCTGCACCTTGGGAACAGAACAAACGGCCTCCTTGCAATTCGGCGACTAAAAGCCAAGAGCCCACAATTTTAAAAAAGAAGAAAAAAAAGAAAGAAACAGCAAAGGAGACCAAAGAAGATAAAGTAATCAAAGTGGGTAAACAAAGCCATGCAGTTGTTGAGGCAAGCGCACAGGACAACATTAAAATTAATGCTGCCAATGCCCTCATGAAACGAGGGGAGTTTTGATGGGATGAATCGCTAGCAAAAAAAAAACACAAACATAGGTGGAGAATGCGGTTGACGTTAACGATGTTGGATTTTGAAAATGAGCACAGGATTGGCAAGCAGGCGTGATATCCGGTAGCCTGACTAGCCAACGAGGCACACCGACTGAAAGAGAGAAATAGGTTATTTGTCTGATGTCGTCGTCTCTCCAACTTCCCTTGTTCTGAGGTCGATGAGGATCAGAAAGCAGAAGAACCAGACAACTTCACACAAAATCTTCATTCTTTCTCTGAGCTGTCAAATCCACTCAATTGGGTACTCCCTATACAGAATCATTTCCCCATCAAATCAACATCCCACTTACGAAAG